AACGTCATGGTCCAAATTGGGAAGCACATGAAGCAGACATTACGGTCCAAATGGAAAACCTGATGGTATAAATGAAGTTTTCGTTACTGATGGTCAAGGTAATATTAAAGTCATAAATGGTTACAAATTAACTGTATCTGATTATCCTAAACGTAAAGCATATAATGAATGTTATCCTATGCAATTTGATGAAAATGGAAAAGCTGTTAAACAATACATTGGAGAAGGTGAACATGGTCCAATTAATTCATACCGTCATAATCCATATTCTTATTTCAATGAAGAATTAAACGCTATTGAAGAGGACCGGATGGATTACCACGATATGTTAATCAGTTTGATGGTCAATATGCAAATTTGAGACCTGAAATTCCAGCTAAGAAATTCTTTAAAGTTGCTTTATTCGATCCAGTGTTCAATGAACAGAAAGAAGCAATGAAAGCAGAATTTAAACCAATTCAAGTGGCAAGAATTTCTTCATCTTCACTTGCAGAAGCGTTCAAGGAATTGATAAAGAAACCACTTTATTCTCAACAAGGTTATAACTTTGATTTAATTAAAGAAAGTGATAGACGTAAATTAGAAAAATCAGATGGTTTTAAGAATGCATGTAATGAAATGATTAAAGATATTGTAAATGATAAAATAAGACTGGAAGAAACTCAAAGCAATATCAATAACATAATTGGTGCAGTTACAAAGAAAGTATAAGCAAACAATGATGAACCTTGGGATATTACCGTAACAACTAAATAAAACTTTAAATATATTTTTCTTTTTTTATTCAATTATAAATGAGAAGACGTTTCACAAGTCAAAAGAACACTAACGCAAAAGCAGAGATTACGGTTGGTTATAACGTAAATGATGATAAATCACGAATTATTCAAAATGTTAAAGTTAATGTTAGCCCTGAATTAACAAGGTCAGCAACTCAACCAAATTTATTAACTCGTGACTTACCGAAGAATGAGGAGAATGAAGAAAACCATGAGAATGGAGACCCAATCATTTTATCTGAACCCGGTAAAGAACCCGTTGAAATCCCACTATCCAACATACCCCCCACCTCTTTCATCAAACATCGAGAACCCAGGAATATACGATTCCAGTCGCAATGCGCCATATAAAATAGACATTAATTCTGAATTAATGAAAATTTACCGTGATATAATAACTGATAATTATGATTCAATAATAAATTTAATTGATCAATCCGGTTTAATTATTTTACCTTATGAATCATTAATTCACATTATCGCCATTCTTTGTGATGTTCAAGATTCAGACGTTAAGATTCAATTTTTCATAGATGATGAGGTTTCATGCTGCGGAACAGTTGCAAAAATAAATCCTATAAAGGATATTAGCACAATTAAGATATCAAAGAACGGAACAACAACTGAACTTCATTTAACATATAATGATATTTATAATAAAATAGTTGATGAATATAAAATATCACTTGAAAAATTCTTTGTTAAGGCTATTTAATATTCAAGCATTAACATTATTGAATAATAATCCTTTGAATCATAATCAATAATAATTGACCTTTCACCAGTTTCTATCGTTTGTTTTATTTCTTTTTGTTCCCCACTATCTGGATCGGTCATTGTAATTGTTTTTGTTATAGTATCAGCTTTATCTTTAACTTCAATCTTTTTTCCATCAGGATATTTAAACCAAAATTCCAAAAATTCGATATTGTCAATCTGTTCATATTTTAATCTATCAATTACATTTTTAATACCATCTGAAAATCTTATGAAATGGTCATTATATGGGTTTGATTGAACTAAATTTGAATGAAGTGAAATATAACCCGATGATGAATATGACATTGACTCATATTTTCTGAAAACACTGAAATTTATAACATGAATGAATTTCTTATTCGTTGAATTTATGAATTCTTGAGGTAATCTTATTCTAGTTTTATTTATCACTGGAAAATAACGCTTTACCATATTTTTAATCGTAATAAAAATGTCAATTATCAATATTATTTCGAATAATAGTTGTGAATTAAATTTAACAGTTAGCGGAATTTATAATGTTACTCTCGTTTCTGTGAGTGGTAAATTTAATCCCATTCTTTTAGACCCTTCAGATTATATATCATTTATTAAAGATGACCTTGAAAAAACGTATGATATGTATATAAATAATGTGATAACGAAATGGGATATTAACACATTTTAAGTTATTTAAATGAATCATTTATCGTATGGTATGAAGAAAATTTTAAATCAAAACCTGATAAACTTTTTGAACTTGATGAAATAAATAACCTTATTAAATTCCCGCTGAAAATTAAATTTTGTACTCCTCATCTTCGTTCATTGTTGGGGATATTAAATTTTGAAAAAGATGTTGGGGATGTTTTGTATTCTGACACTGGTTCCAATTTCATTTTAATCAAATGTGATAAAGTTAATACCCCAATGAGATTTTCACATCAAACATTAGACCCTAACTCTTACCCATCAATACAAAACATTTTATCCATCAACTTAAACACATTTTCTTTATCATATCCGTTTCAATTATCCGGGAATTCATTTATTCTTCATTCAAAAGATTTATCAAATATTAAATTTAGAATAACTGACCTATTTGATTGTGATTTAGAATTTATGAATGAAATATTATGGCAATTTCAAATAGAAAAAATAGCTGATGAGATAACAGATTAAATATTTATTTTTAAATCATAATAAATGATTAAACAACAGCAACCACAGCAACTTAAGGCACAGACCATTACTTACGCCACATATGCATATAATTCAAAGACGGCAGAACAAACGCAAAGGTTGAAATATGGAGATTTGGAGATAGTATTGAAAAATGACCATTTTGAATTCGTTTGCAAGGGTGGTGCAGTGATATCAAATATAAAAGAAATTTTATTTATGAATTCAAAAATTAAAGGAATAACGGATGATATAACATCAATTCCACCAGAAGAACAAGATATTACGCATTAAATGCATTTCCTAAAGTTTTGAAGATTGGAAGATTTAATTTAAATGAGGAATTCATAGAAGGTTTCCTAAATGACATAATGAAGAAGCAGATAAGGAATATGTGGATAGTGAGTTAATGAAGAAGGCAGATAAGGAATATGTGGATAGTGAGTTAATGAAGAAGGTAGATAAGGGACTTGTGGATAGTGAGTTAATGAAGAAAGCAGATAAGGAATATGTTAATGAAAAAGATAATGAAATTATAGAAAGGGTTGAATGGTATCATGACGGACATCGAAGATTTTAAAACTAAAGCTGATACAGGATGGGTTTCAGAATGTTTAGACCTTAAAGCAGATAAAACTTATGTTAACGATGAGTTTGAGAAGAAAGCAAATAAAACATATGTGAATGAAATATACCAAAGTTTGATAGGAACAACTAAAAATATTGAAACTATTGTTGGTGACTTTTCCGTCTATGAAGAAAATAAATATTTTAGATGGGAGTTTGTACACTCCTTAAAAAATGGTATACGGTATAAACTCATTCCGAAAAATAACAATGAAATGTATGTAGGCTATATAAAGAATGATGGTACACAAGTTAAAGTTCCATTAGACAACAACTGTACTTAAACTTATATGGAGACGAACAAAAGAAATATTTAAGAGTTTATGAAATGACAGATATGACAGATATGACATTGTCTAACGTAGCTCCAGCACCGTATTATTATGACTATGGTGTTGACGCACATGTAGACCCAAAAAAGCAAACATTATATTTAGAATATTATAGATATAAAAGATATAATGCAATAGAAAAAACGAGAATAGTATATTATTATATAGATGACAAAAATAAATATTATAGTCAAGATTTTACATACCCTGAAAACATAAGATTATATTATAAAAAATATTCTGACACAAACCAGAAGAAACCCGAAATAGTTACACTATATTTTAAGTTCAAAAGAGACAATCCTATATTATCTCATATGTTTGATTTAATGAACCCAGTAGGTTCTATTTATACATCTATGGATGCAAGAGGTCCTCAAGCAATGTTTGGTGTTGGTGCATGGGAACAAATAGTCGACAGGTTTTTGTATTGTGCAAACTCTTCAAAGGAAACAGGAGGAAGTAAAACGATTTCAGGTGAAAATTTACCTGCACACAGTCACTACATAGATTTAAGTACATCTCAAGCAGGTTGGCATAAGCATAGATATTGGGATTGGTCAGGAATGACAAAAGGTAAAGGATATGATGTTAAAGACAACGTTAAGTTTGCCATAAATTGTTACTGGAGTGACACTCAGGGAGAAGGAAACCATACACATCGCGTTTCAGGATATACACAAACAACGGGACAAAGTAAAGATTACATGCCACCATTTATGACTGTATTTGCATGGTATAGAGTTCAATGAATGAACTAAATATATTTTATGTCTGTAATTAATTAGGTAATGAAGTAATGGATGAACTGCAGAAATAAATGGTTACGTTAATGGTTACGTTAATGGTTACGTTAATGGTTACGTTAATGGTTACGTTAATGTTTTCAGGTCATTCAAAAATAATTAATTATTGAATAACCTGAAGGTGTCACTATGTCACCATGTGTCACCAGGTCACCAGGTCACCAGGTCATTTAACTTCTCTGAAAAAATGTGACAACATGACATTTTGACAACACACAGGAAATAAATGTTTACGTTAATGTTTTGTCATGATCATTCATCGTTTCTTTGTCATGACTTCTTCTTCGTAATGAATGTATATTCTTTGTCGAAACTTCTTCGTAAATGATTTGTCATGATTTCTTCATCGTAAATGTTTTGTCATGATTTCTTCGTAATGAACGTAAATGATCCAAAAATAATGTTTAGGTGAAGCGGTGAGATTTCACCTGTTTTTTCACCTAATTTTTCACCTCAGGAATTTTCATGAATTTTCCCGAAATAAAAAATAAAGTTAGTTTTATTTTTATTTTTATTTTTATTTTGTATGTAAAGATATGATTTCAACAATCGGCACAACAGCAATACAAGCCGCGAACGGCGGGACTCTGTCCACAACTACAGCACCAAACTCGTTAGTCATGAATCCAACATCTATGTTAGTAGAGATGAAAAGCTTCATTCCTTCTTCATATACTTTCGAAACAAAAATCCAGAAGATAAAGCAAGAACTTTTAACAAGTAATTTAGACTGTAGTGCGAAAGATGAAACAAATGAACAGTATCTTTATGAAATGCAGGACATTATTGACCATTTACCTAAACTACCTGAAATCCAACAACAAAAACTAACTATTCCTGAATTCGACGAAATTGAAGTCAAAACAACTGACTCAGTAGAAATAAAGAAGTTCATACGTAAAGTAAATTATGAATTCCTTGGTTTTCATTGCAACCATAAAGTTATGGACAAAGATTGCGACATGGTTTATAAGAATGTTTCTGACATATATAAATCTGAAGAATTTAAGACCTACGATAACTTTGTTTCATTAGTTGCTGAATGTGTTTGGGAAATAAGAGATAAAGATAGAAGAGGCAAAGTATGGAACGAACAACTAAGACCCGCTATGTTTGAGATGAAGAGAGCAATTGACGCCTTAGTTGTTTTAGCAGGTCAAATTTCAATGTATAACGCAAAAATGAACCCGCAATGTTCAAAATGTAAGGCAGCAATGAGGAGATATAACTACTCCGTCAAAGAGATAGAAAGAATGAGAAACGACTATGCAGATTTAAAGAAAGAAGCAGAAAAACCAGCAGAAAATAAAATGGACATGTTGACATTTCTGAACAAAAATTATCCAACTGCTGACGATTTCCTTCTATCTGACGTCAAGAAGAAGTATAAAGAGACTTTCGGTATTGTTAAAACATTCGATGTACTAAAAGAAGAAATAGAAGCTACGAAATTGTTTAGGATTTCAAATATACATCGTACAATTCATGTAAAACGCTTGTGAAAAAACTGGGGCGAAAAATTAGGTGAAAAATTAGGTGAAATCTCACCTCTTCACCTAAAATATATTTTTGTTCAAAGCTTCCACGAGAGAAAAGATTCCTCATTCGCTAAGGATTCCAAAAATGAAAAAATCATTGATTTCGGCTGAGAAAAAAATAGCAAAACCCTTCTTCCACGGGAACAAAGAAATAAAGAAGAAATAAAGAAGAAATAAAGTAAATTTTTTATTTATTCCCGTGGAAGATAGAGCACTTTTATGACACTTTTTATTCACGACAACAAGACAAACAAAGAAAATAAGAAAATACGGCGCCGTCGCGGTTCGAACCAAAGACCCTGACCCCTCCATAACACTACCTTAGACCACTGTGCTACGTAGCCTGTCGACATAAGATTTTATAAATTGCATATTTGACGTAAATTTATTTCCCAGTTATTCAAAAATAATTAATTATTGAATAACCTAAAATCATTAATGAAAACATAAACGATAACATTTATTTCCTGTGTTGTTGTCAAAATGTCATGTTGTCTCAAACTTTAGAACGGACTGAAAGTCCTGAGCTCCAAAAGAGCAAACGGCATAATTTAAATTTTTATTTTTATCATAAATGAATACCCCACAAGCTCAAAATTTACCACGAATCATAACAAGGGAGGAAATGATAAAAATGATGCAAGAACATGTTAAAATAACAAACCACTAAAACTGAGAAAATGTGGTTATGCAGTAATGATGGAAAGAGAGATGTTGTCGAAGAGGAATAAAAATTAAATTTGGATTGAGTTTAAAAATTCATCTTTATTAAATTCATCTCTTCCAACCAATTTATTTATTCTATTAAATTCTTTTATTTTTACTTCACTCAGTTTAAGGATTGAACGGTAAGTTTCTAATTTTTCGATTATTTCTTTCCTCTCTTTATCGTTTTCAACCCCACCGCATTGTGGCTTCTTTTTGTAATAGCATATTTTTGATTTAATTCTGTTTAGTTTCTTTTTATATTCATCGTCTGGACTCTTGGATGCTTCGTTGTCACTCATTTCTTACGAAATAAAAAAATTAAATATTATTTAAATATAATGGAGTAATAAAATAAATCGGAATTTCTATTAATTTATTGTTAACCTCAACTAATGCATTGCCGTTAATATATCTAACAAATTCAGCTATTGTGTCAAATCTTCGTCTTCTTTTTGTCATTGATTTATCAGTTTTTCCATAATCGAGATGAATCAAAACTTTATCCCCTTGTTTAAAATTCATGAGCCCCGAATTAATTTGTTCACGTTTAACATCATTTAACCTTTCCATTTGCTTTCTAATATATTCCCATTCTTTTGAAATATCATTTTTCATTTCCACCGGTTTCATGTTTATAGTTCTATGCCATGTATTATTGTAATAATATACTAACTGTTGTATGATGGAGTCATGATTTCCATCCCAGTATATCTGACCGTTAACCCCTAACGCATCTCTAAGAGTTCTCATTACCGCATCAACTATTTTATTATGAAACGTATATGGAGAGGATGAAAAGTAAAAATTAATTTGTGGGAAATAATGAGTCATAGCTGCCTGAAATCCTTTATCACCATCACCCCTTATATTATCTACTCTTTCATGATCTAGTAAGTATTGAATAGCTCTTCTTGTTTCCTGTTCTGTTTTCCCTTTCACCGGAATGCAATATAAATATCTGGTGTTAATGTTAATGGTAAATAAATAAGTAACGTTTCCTTTTGAATATTCCAGATGATCGATTTCATATGAATATGGATATGGTGCAAATGAAGGGCGACCAAATTTTTCCTTTAACGGTTGAATTTTTGGGTCAATTGGTTTATTTAATATCTTGAAATCCTTTTTAAAATCTTTTTGTTTCTTTAATGTTTGAAATGGATATAATAAAGTGAATGATGAAGGATTAACTGAAGGAGGAGGTGGTTTTGGTGTTGCAGGTACTGTCGTTAGAGGTTTTGGTGTTGTAAGTGGTTTAATTTTATCTGCTTTGATTTTGGATGATGAAGTTTTGGATTTCATTCCTTCCTTCATTAATTCTGGATGTATTTTATTCATTTGTTTTAAATATGCTGTATATAAAGGTTTGATATACTTTCCCGCTTCGAGTTTATGTTGAAGGATGAATTCCAAAAGTTGATCTTCATTTAAAAGTCGGGCTGAATATGGTTTAACTAATGAATCATAAATTAAAGCTTGTGCATCATTTATGGTCTGAAGGACCTGGGCGTTTTGTACCTTTGGTTTTTGTTCCTTTGGCTTTGGTTTTTGCGGCTCAGGATTATATAAATTATATAATTCATCAATATCTTCTTCTGTTAATACTTTATTTTTGAAATCTTTCAACTGTTTAAGCTGTGATTTAGTTTTTCCCTTTGAATATTCACTATTTTTAATTTTGTCTTTAATTTTAGAAATTATTCTATCATGATATTTCAAAATTTCATTTTTATAATATGGATAATAATATCCCATATCATCACCCGTTATATTATTATTATATTTTTGGAGATATGCTTTTAAATCATAATAACTAAGAAATTTTTGATTAAGTACTAAATCATCAATTAAATTTTCTAAATCTGAGTTATCCATTTATATATAAAAATAAAATAAATGTTTTAAGGGTGCCCACCTCCTTTGAATCATAGTATCAAAAACATCATTAACGGTTCCTTTTGTCTCTTCTGTGGCATTTTATTAAATAAATGGCATACAACATCCATTTTCACAACATACAGCCTTAGTGTGTGCTCTGTTAATGCAGTCTTACCAATTGTTAAGCGAGTCATATGACCCGTTTTTAAGTTGTAAATTAATATTCTGACCATCAAATATCACTTTATCATTTATTATATCCAAATAATTTTTTAGGTTTAATTGTTTATTTTGTCGTAAACTAACTCCTTTCATTTTTGTTGTGCAATCTTTTTAAAATCACTTCCATCAATTGAACCGTTGAATGATGTATAACACTTGGGGCATAAAAGCAACCATGTTATCACCTTGTTTCTCAATTGCTAAACCCAATAACTTCTTCTCATGTGCTTTTCTTCAGCTTTATTCTTTAATTTAGGTTTAAATTTCTCATCAAAACAAAAGAAATCAAAAGGTGCGAATTTGTAAATGTTTTTATCATAAAATTGTTTATCAGTAACAATTGCTTGAAATGCTTGAGTGTTAGGAAGATTTGGGTCGCCAGCGATTGCCCAATAAGATGAATCAGTATCACCTTCAATGAAATGAAAACGATTAACATCATGCATTTATACATAAAATCATAAATGAAAACCAAATACCAGTATTTTGCGTTATCTAAAGTGAAGAATGCCTCTTGTAAACATGTATCACATCTATAAAATCTATCTTTAAGCATCACTTGATACGTATCTTCACCTATTTCTCTTATGTTTTTAAACTTATTTGACATACATGCAACGCGTGCCTTCTGTGCATTCATTATTTTAGTCTTTGCGTAATTTTGTGTATTCATTGCATCGTAACCATATGATCCATTAAGTGAAATCTTGCAAAATAAACTTTTTCCTTTATTTCCTTCTAATTCAGCCTTTTGTCTTTCGTTCATAAATTCGTTCGCAAATTCATTAAAGCAAGTGTTTTTCGTAAATGTTAAAATTGATTGAATATCATCAATGATAAATGAAATCTGTCTATTAGATACCAAAGATAATAAGAAGAAAATGGTTGATATTGGTTGTGTGTTGATGCTAACTGAGTTAATTTTCTCTGTTTCTGGTCAACTGGTAGATTGTTTGATTTCATGTAATTATACATAAAACTGCCAATTGTTTTTTCATCTGTGATAATATCTAAGTTTTCTTATTATTGGTAAAAAGTTTATGTAATCATTAATGTATTTTTCATCAATGTGACCCTTTACTTCAGCCACGAATAAGTATTTTTCTTCTTAATAATTCCCAGTGCTTTTGCTTTCTTTGTTGCTGTATCACAAATGATAACACCATTCAATCTTCCCGGCATATACATTTTATGGTCAGTATATTGAATGAAATCATGAGGATTAGATGAAAATGATGAAGGATATAATGAATTAAAGTCAACTCCAACGAAATGAGTCATAATGTTGGTGGTGTCCTCATTTGATACAGTTTTTAGTTTCTGGATTATATGAAAGTTTATTAATGTGCGTGATTCCTTTAAGATTAACACGATGTTGAACATTTGATAGACCACCAGTAATTCCATTACGGAGAATGTGATAAGCTTCAACTGAATCTAAAGTCATTGGTAAATTATTTTTTAATGCATAATTTCTTAAATTGATTCTTAAACGTTGAACATCTTCATCTTTATTTGATTTTACGACATTGCAATAACAACACATTAACTGACAATTTTCTTTGGTATGTGGTTTTTCATTATCGATTCTATCCAATGTTGGTTTATTAGCATATGTAAACGCTTTACCACACATTTTGCATTTAGATGAAAGGATTAAATCGTGATAGTATTGATAGTCATCCATTGAAACATTGTTTTTAGTATCCCTTTCTGCTTTTTCATCTTGTTTCTTATATGATTCAATTTTATATTTCCAATACTT